CGTATTTTTTTCCTTCCATGGCTTTATGCCCAGCTGCACTACTTCCTGAACTTCAGCCAGCTCCTTGTTTCCTGTCTGCCATTATTGGCCAAATTGATTAATTCAGGTGTGTCTGATTATTGTTGCCATGACTACTGAGGTCAGGTACACCTGAATTAATCAATTAATGGATTAAACTGTATGGACGTCCTTAGTCAGCTAAACCCCTCAAAGATCAACAAGCACATCTTTTTTGCTTCTAACCTTACTCTGAAGTTATACTAGTAAGACCGTTTTATAATATTTTAATATTGTGATTTCGGTTCTCATACCGGTTGTTGATAAGCTAGCACACACTGCTAATAAATACAACGTTATACTCGTGTAGTCCGTTTACTTAACGATTATAGAAGTGAATAGAGACTTACCCAGCTTTGCATTAACAGTGTTGCTCCCTGATATTGTTAGTCCCAGCCTCCGTCTCGATAAGTAGGATATGCGGTGGTGGTTGATTTTTTTGACTGTGACCGGTAACGTTATGCTTTTGCCTCTATTTTGGACGCCTTGCTAGCCTTCGAACGCATATTGCAGCCCCTTTTGCCTACTTCTATCGGTCACTTTTTTTTTGCTGTTTTGTAAAAGTTTAATAACATTCCAGTAGGAAGAGCTGTCACAGCATAAGCCATGTTGATACCACAGGGCCCAGATGAAGTTTGACGGATGTAGCAACAGTAACTAAGGGGGGCGCAGTAACTAATGGACACCGGAAGCCTTTGGCTCGCACATTCAAGTTACAAATGGCCGCGCCAAGTTTCTTAATGGATTAAAATGCATTTAAGGCGGATTGATCTAATTGAGCTCAGCTGTAATATGACGGGGAACGAGTTGCGATTTTGACTTATTAAATAGAAATGTGCAGCTTCTTTCTCACAACTTAATAGGCTACTTATCTGGCAAAATGGGATTTCAATAAAACTTGAAATCGGAAAATCGTTTAGTCTAGGTGCAGATTAACCTCTGGTTTTAAGATGGTAAAAAAAACAACAACTGTTGACCATTAGCCTAAATGTGCTCTGGCTAACATTTTACAGACATACACAAAATATTACTGTAAACCAAGAGAAAGGGCAAATGTCATTTAATTGTCATTTTGTAGACATTTTCTAAATATTTATTTTCATAAATTTGAATGTATTCTGTTTTGAAAAAAAATAATAATAATTGTTTGTGACGAGCATCTACGCTGCTGGTCTGGTGCTTGCTTGAGGCTTCAGACTTTTACAGAAGGCATTATGTGAATTAGAATATTGTCTCTATATCAAGTGACAAATAGAAAAAAAAACTCCTCACAGCCAGAGCCAGGTGCTTAAGCAACCACACCTGTGTAGCAACCCTGCTGTTTGTTATACAGGTATCCATGTGATTTAGCCCGGTGCTCATCCCACAATAAAATATTTATTCATTAATTCGAGGGCCAATAAATGAACACAGACTAAGGAAAAAAAAGTTTTATGCAATGTTTTTTTTAAGTCTAACATATTGTGAAGCATCTAAAATGAATAAATCATAGAAATCCAAGATATTAAAATAGATTCCAAGATCAAACAGACAACATTCTAATGAATAATAATACAAAAACACGTATTACACTCAATTCAGTGGTTGATTGTACATTATGTATCAAATTAATTCAGAGTATCATGCTGTTGCACAGTGTTGACAAAGTAACTGCAGGTGAGACAGAGTTGATGGCTGAGGAATGATTCAGAGGGGTCAGGGGTTACAAAAGCCTTCTCATATCCCTTTAACTTGGACGAGCTGGTAGAAAATCCACACAGTCCACAGAGTTTGATTTTCACATTCCCTTTACAAAAGTACTAGGCTCACTACTTCTTCTTTGCAGTAATGTTCTTGCAGACCCAGTTCATGCCATCCTGAAAGAAAGCAGCACTTTAGCCAAAAACCAGCCACTGATGGGAAGGTCTAAACAACTGATTGGAAAGATAAAACAAAGCTAATGTAAAAGCAATGACTCACCTGGACTCCCTCTCCCGTAAGTGCAGAACAGGACTGAATTTGCCAAATACGGTCCCGAATGGTGTGCAGGTTCAGTCCCTCTGCGATCTCAGAGGCTGGAGCAGCGGTCAGCAGGTCTTGTTTATTGGCAAAGATTAAAACAGGTACGCCACTAAGTTTCTCCTCATCGAGCAGCTCAGACAACTCCTGCACACCACATAAACAATTCAAATAATAATCCAATATCTCATTCAAACACAGCATTCAAATTCAGCATGGATTTGCTTGAACAAATGCATATCAAGAAAGTTTCACTTCCAAAAAAATAAAAGCATTGCAGTGAACTGGATTAAGTAGGAAAATGTAGCTAGACATAGACATGACCCGGTGTGAGAAATATGGCCACATATTGTAAGAAATGTCCTGCAAAGACCTTGGAAGATTCATAATCTCTCATCTACACACATACGCACACACACACAAACAAGACAAGTAATAATGAACAGATTTGCTACAATGATAGATCTTTTTATACCTGTCCCGTTTCCTCAAATCTCTTCCTGTCTGCACTGTCTATGACATAAATCTAAAATGCAAAAACACAATGTAAAAATCATCACATAAACAAATATGAGAAAGTATCAGAAAGAAATATATACAACTGTTCAAATGTTTGATGTATGATTTAAAATACTTTTATTCAGCAAGGATGTATTAAATAATAAAAAGTGACAGTAATGCTGTTTATCAAAGAATTCTGAAAAATAGACTTGCACAACATTTCAAAATTTTTAAGTATGTTTTTGTTGAGCATTAGAAACTTCTTTAGAACTTTTCAATGGTAGTGTTAAACGATAATGAATGCTATGCTATGCATAACTCATAAACATATCTCAATAAGAAACACTCACAAGCATATCAGTATTTTCAAAGTAGTTTCTCCAGTATGGTCTGATCTTCCTCTGACCTCCAATGTCCCAGACATTCAGTTTGAAGCCCTGAGACTGCACGCTCTTAATGTTAAAGCCCTGGCAAGGACAGAAGAATTAAAATTAACTGAACAATGCTGTATTGTGCTAAAGAAAGAAAAACCCTTAAAGGGATAGTTCACCCAAAAATGAAAATTTTGGCATCACTTGGCTACTCAACAGACAGTTGATGGCACCCATTGACTTCCTATACATTCAATTATTTTTTTTTCTACAATGACCTACAACTGGTTAACGATATTCTTTAAAATATCTTTATTTGTGTTCAACAGAAGAAAGAAACTCATACAGGTTTGGAACAACATGAAGGTTAGTAAACGGTAACACATTTTTCATTTTTGAGTGAACTATCCCTTTAAGAATTTATACTATGAACATGGAAGAAACTAGCTTTTTTTTTTACAAGACAATATATTTCCTGTAAAAGGGAGATTGTGTGTTACCTGCGTTGGTGTGATGTGACTAATATCCTCAGAGGCTAGCTGTTTGAGAAGTGTCGTCTTTCCGCCATTGTCTAATCCAAGGAGCAGAATGCGTATCTCCTGGTCTGGAGCACTCTTTAGTTTTCTAAGGATTGACAACAAACCCTGCAATAAACATTATATGCTCAATAACCAGATTTTAAATAAGTCAACAATGACACTATATAAAGACATTTGTGAGAAAAAAAGATGGTTCTAAAAAAAATATATATATAACGTTAACGTTACTTCTCTCAGCTAAGAGACTTATCTAACAAAATATGAAAAAGACAAAGACATTTGTAGATTTTAGAGGGATTAAAGGAGACTTTAAAGAGATTAAAGACAGAATGACTCAGTCGCAATTCACTCATTATATTAAAAATGCAGTGAAAGTGAAAGATGATTAAATGATGACACATTTTGTTCAACTGTCCATTTAATGGTGGCTACCCTCGGTGGCTACAATATCGTAATAATTTCTTGAAAGAGTTATAGGCCTAATCTTTACATTTGAATTATTCGGGAAATAACAAAACAGAGGAAGGCAAATAAATGAGACTTAGCGCCGCTGATCCATCAGGCTTCACTCCTACAGAGAAAGCCAGCTAACGTTACTGCAGAGCTAACGTTAATTATCAAGATTCACGCTGCAACCGCCGAATAAATCATGCGTATTTCCAAAGTTTCTAAAATCTCAGTTAAATACAAACTACACAAATATAGGACTATGGGCTAATTAACTTCTCACCATCTTACTCCCGAGTCCCTTCCGAGACGCCGACGATGGTTACTAGGGGGAGTTAAGTTACGTCACCAGCTAATGGCGTCATTTTAAAGGAACCGCAGTTGTCAAATTTTTCTGATTAGGTGACTTGGCCTTAAAATTATGCTTTTCTTTTATATATATATATATATATATATATATTTGCATACCCAGGATGTTTATTTTCTGTTAGGTACCATTGTTTGTTTGTACGCCTTGCTTTACTTCCCCGTGTTGGTTATTTTGTATAAGTTCTGCAATTAAAAAAAAAAAAAAAACATTTTTCTGATTAGGTTTCAATTTCTGTATCATCACAAATGTTTAAGGCAGGCACGTACGCCTATATAATGGACATTTCCACTGTTATTTCCAGGAAGAAAAACTATTCATACATTTTGTCACACAATATGGGTTAGTTGTCACCGAAAAAAACCCACCATTTAACAGTCTATTACAGGCTTTATAAAGTTTAAATGGTAGAAGAATTATGAATTAAAACAATTTATTAAACAGCAAAAAATGTAAAAGGTAAAGTACAAAAATAATGAACATATGTTTGATTGACCTAGATCTGTTAATAATTAACCTTAGGTTAAAATCAAATTTTATTATATAAAAGACTTATCTGAAATGTATACATTTGTGGTTTTATTGTTTATGTTGCCCATGTGTTCCATGTGCACACACGCACACACACACACACACAAATATAAATATACATGCAAAACCAGGTTCACCCTGGTGAATTTATCAAAACAGCTGCGTGAGCTCTTAAAATAAAAGTACTGATTCTACTAAAACAACAAATTTTTATTGTAAATAAATCTGTAAAAATACAAAATGACAACAATGGGAAGTCCTCCTTGACTGATCTCAACATCAAATGCACCATTCAAAACGTCCCTCTAACGGTCCTTCAAAAAGGGACAAAGATTTAAAAACCCTACTTGCCAAATTTAAAAAAACTAAAAATATTAATTATAACAAAAGTTCAAACAAAAAAAAAAAATCATGCGTGATAAGAAGAAAATCTGGAGAGAACAATGCTGGTGCTTTCCCTGAAGACAGATGCAGATTGACAGGCTTTTCACTGTCATGGTACAGTGTGTTACAGGGATAGTACATCTGGAATAATCCTTAAATGCCCTCAAGGGCACAATGGTGACAGAACTGTGAATTTGTGGGTCTCCCAACTGAGAGTGAACCTGAAAGTTGGTGTTGGCGGTTACTTACATACACATAAGTAACAGTATTACTATTAACCAATATACATTTTTTTTAATGAAGTAAATGTTCACAGAGCTGGCTGCATTGAGGCTTCAACCTTTCTATTTAACATTTGTACAATCTGACAGTACAAAATTCCAGAAAATACTTCACCACCCTCCATCATGTCTCATAGAAGAACATTACATCTAATATTATATAAAATGTATAAAGGTCTGATGTAAACATCTCAATTTCAGCTGCTGTGAGATTTAAATTTGCTTTTTCTTTGCTGGTTTGACTGAGGGCATTTCCTCCTCACTAACATCATCATCATCTTCTTCATCTGATATTTCAGACTCTTCATTCTCTGTGGCTGAAAGAGGATAAATAATTAACACCATTCAGTTTCAAAACAAAAGAGATAAAATAGCATGCTTTGTGTGCGATTTTTAGCCTTAAATGCATTGTTGTGATATACAGACTTGCAACTGTTGTTTGATTTCTCACCAACTAAATGTAACCCACTGACAGTCACTGGTCCCGATCCAGATTTCAGCCGCAGTGTGACAGGAGCCATCAACTCAAACTCCCCAAGGCTTACCTGAGTAGAAACAGATTTAAAAACTTGCAGCATATTTGAATACCTGTATTGTATAACAGTTTAGTAAAAAAAAAAAAAAAAGCATTACCATAGGCAGACAGGAAATGTTGAGATTAGCTACAGGCACAGATATTTTCTTTCCTTGGTGATTCATAGCGGTCACTTCCACAACATTATTCTCCTCTTTGGCACCATCACCCAGACAAATCTAATGGTTTGAGAGAAAGGAGTTTAAAAATACAGGTCATCAAACTCTTTACACACATTAAAGTCGCCATGAAATGAAAGCAGCAATTGATCATTTTGTCTATATTATGACATACAATTGAGTATAATGCATTATGGTAAAATACAAAATGTCGGGCAGGAACTTGGTTCTATGAATCAGCTGTTAACTGGATTTTCGAGATGTGTTTGTTCTTCTCAAAAAGTTGAACTTGCAGGGCCGGGGTTTATGCAGACTAAAAGGGCACACATTTACCACTGTTAGGCAAATTTTCACGAGCGAAATCCACCAAATTGCAAATTTCACATGACTTTAACAGATTATGCTTTGGGTTCACTGTGTTAACCCACAGAAAGCTGCTTGATTTGAGTTCTGTGTGAGCTGTGTTTCATATCTATGTGACCTGCATACATCACTAATAAGAACTGAGAAGACCAAGAAATGGTTCCTTAAACGAAAATTTTATTTTTAGGATAGCACTTAATTTTGTCCATCAGCAATTGATTTGATCATTGTGGTTTGCTATGGTATGAGTGATAGGTTGTCCCAACCTGCTGCAAGAGGGAGGGAAAGTTATTTTAATTAAAGGTAACCACACAGCTGAGCTGACAGCACCCTTTTGACTTCCATAGTATTTTTTTTTTACCAACAGTCTTCAAAATATCTACTTCAGACAAAAGAAACCTACATACAACTTGGAACAACTTGAGAACGAGTAAATAAATTACTATTTTTATTTTTTTATTTATTTCCCTTTAAAAAAAATAATGATGTACATGGATGAATCATTTATAATAAACATGGCTAATAAAATAAGAACCGTCAAGTTTGACTTCATGGTGACTTTAAACAGAAGGTGATAAAAAATATAAAAACAGAGAAAGAAACACACACAGACGAATTGTTCACAATAAGATCTATAATATGCATACAGAAAATAGATGTATTTTTATTTCATATTAACTTTAACACTATAAATAAGGGAAAAATGAAAATCTATGACGATTTGATCAACATTTTATTACTTCACAGATATAGAAGTTTCCCTTTTTTCTCTCTGTAGAACGCATAGACAACAAAACACGTCAGTCAAAAGTGCAAGGGAAGTGAATGGCGACATATGCACGTTTAGGACAGGCAAACTCTTGCTTTAATAAAATATTCTACGAACCGTCCTGAGCTCCAGAAAATGTTCCACGTCTTCATCTTCGTCTGCTTGAAATGTGTAAAATGGAACTTCAGAAGACAACTCACAACCTAATGGAAATCAAAATCACACTATTATACAAGTAGCCTATATTTAATTTATATGCAGAAATTAATGTAATCACTGAAAACGAGCAGGTATTTTGTTTTTAAGCAATCCAGGTTTTTTAACGAACGTTAAACATCTCTGGCCACAATTATTAAAGAAATAATCAATTGAAGTTGTTCCACGTGTGCTAGTAAGTTAAATCTACGAAACGCGTCACTGTTGATCTTACTGAACACATAGCTTTCCAATCGCGAGCGTGAGTCCACCCCACTGTCCGATGTTTCGTCCTCAACAAACGACATAGCTGCTAACTGTACGAACGTTTCTTATATCATTCAATCAATAAAGGCTACGATACCCACAGTACAAGTCGCGTTTTCAAAACACATGTAACGAGCAAGCGAAAAAAACGGCGCATGATTATTACGTCATCAACACTGACCTAAAAGCTCGTTTTTAATTGTTACAATATATGAAAGACATTGTAACAATTAAATATAGAATACAGGTAAAAAGTTGGGCATTATAACGATTTTTTAAAAAATTTCATAAATAAATTTCTTTATATCACCTGTCAGTCCCTATGTGAGACCACCTTTCCACGGTTTTGGAAGCCATGAAAGGTGCTCCGTTCGAGCCAATCCATTTGCCAGACATGAAACATCTGTCGTTCAAGACAGTGTTTCTTATGGCTCTTGTATAGAGTTGGTCAAGATTGCTGATGATCTATAATCAAAGGCTACTACGTACCTTCTTAATTCCTATGGAAGCAGTAAGGGTGTACTTAGTCACACATATGTATGTATATAGTATACATGCATATATATATATATATATATATATATATATATATATAAGCTAAAGAAATTATGGTATACTAACATGCAATACAATTTAATTTAATAGTGCACAAGGAAAGATAAGAAATGGGAACAGCTTTAATTTTTTTCACAATTTAAATGCACCATCCACAAAGTTTTAGTGAAACTAAGATGGAAATAAGAGTGTTCATCAGGGGTGGCGATTGTGTGTCTAAAGGCATTTCATTTCACTCACTGACCAGATTTTCTTTACTATTTAACATTTTAATAACATCTTAATTACATACAACCCTTACAGAAATTACAACTATATTACATATACATTATCATAATACATCAAAATACAGAAAGGTCTATATATTTTTAAATGTATGCATTGTATATGACCTCTAAAAAAAAAAGCCCTTTACATTGTATGTGATTAACTAAAATAGAATGATCCAAACCACAAGCCATAGAGGTAAACAATAGCATTTTTGTTTGTACAAATTACCTTAAATGGGAGGGGAAGTGGAAAAACTGTCAAAACTGCCCATGCACAAAAGTATTTACATTTTTCTTTTACCTTTTGCATTATTTTAAATATTACATATGGGAATCTGCAAGGGACTTTTGTGCTCTTCTAGTTTTTCAGGATACAGCACAACTGATATATATGTATATATATCAACTTTTCTGTCCATACTTTTGGTTAAATAGGGGAATAAAGACAAAATAAACAGTTTACATTGTACCTACATTCAGGGAAACAATCCTGACATTGGCTTGGAATTTCAAAGAAACACAAATTAAACCGTGGGGCTTTTAAACATATTAACAAAGAGGCAGACCTTCATTAAGAACAGGCAATGGCTGTTATCATTCTCTTCAGGTAACAGAAAACGGTCTCAAATATGTTAAAGTTCATTCTAAAACATATCTTCATTTTTTCCCCACTTGTTTTAATTCTCCTTCTCTTATAATTAAAGACATTGTGCAGAGCATTGGTCTTCAGGTTTAGGTTACAAATTTTACTTATTTTTTGTAAACAACAGAATTATAATATAACCCTGTTATGTCTCGGAAATGTATAATTCGCCACTTTAAACAAAGGCAGAAGTGTAGTAAAGTATTTTTCATTATCCTCAAAAATATTACAGAGAAGGATAAAAGCCAAAAGGCATTTTTGTACAAAATGAAAAAAGAAAAGAAAAAGTATCATTAAAAGATACTCATGCTAAAGGCTTACACGAAGGTATCCCATGCAGTCTTAAAGACAATGAACATTATGGTTTAACTGTATTTACTTCTGCCTGCTCAAAGTTCAGTTTCAGTTCTTTTCGTTTCTAAAGCATCCTAAACCTCAAAGGATAGCTTTAGCTTGCTGCATTCTCCATATGAGCTCACCGACGCAATTTAAACCTGGAAAACTGCAGAATTTATTACAATGTCCTGAAAAGCAATAACGCAATCTCTGACTGTTAAGAAGTCCTTCTGGATTATTGCTTTGAACACTGTAAAACACTGAAATAAACTTAAAAACAAAAAAAGTGAAGATCTCTCATAAGGTATTGGCAAGTTTTTTTTTTTTTTTTGTCTGGAGAACCTAGACATTAACTTAAACGTGCACATATGCTGAACATAAACTGCAACTCAGCCACATCTAAGAGATTTAGTAGGTTCAATAGCACTTGGCCAACTCAAGCAATCTGTCTACCAGAAAAAAGTGAAAGTAAATCGTGCGTCCTGAATTACTCTTACAGACTCACTTCACTTCTTTTTCCATTTCTCACTCCTCTTGAAAACACCAAACACTTGAGCATCCACCACAGACTGGCAAAGTGAATGAAAAGCACCTAAAATTCTAGAAGTGCATTCAGCATAATGATGTGAGTTAAGCTACCGTTACAGGGCACCAGTTTTTTCATTACAAAACGTGATATTTACATGAACAGGTAGCGAGTTGGGGCCTTAAAATGTGGGCCAAAGCTTTGTGCACTTTCTAGGAGGCTCCTTCTGTATGATTTTTCTTCTAGGCAGCTCAGATTCACAAACTCCTCCCCATTAGAATAACGTCTTTTGGGAATCCCTCCATTTTGGCCACTTCAAAGCAGCCCAGTTTGCTATAAAAGTCCAACATCCTTTTGTCCATCTGCCGGACCTCACAGAAAGCACCATTTGAGCCTGACAAACGAGGAGAAAAAGATGCGTTTATGAAACAAAGCATTCAAAAAAAATAATTATTATTATATAAAAATGATAATTTTATTACTACAGCAATGAATAAAAGCATCACGTGGAACAGGGACACTGTTAAATAAAAAGTTCATGTCACACAACATACTCTACTTACCATTAGCTTTCAGTGATGAGAGGAGACATCCCATCATGCTTTTAGCTACACTAGGGTCAGTAACCTTTGCATGAATGTCCACTTTAATAAGGGATGGGAAGTTACTGAGGAACGATTCTGGCAAAACCTCTTCCTCCTCATGGAAACTTAGCATCATTTTCTATAGGGAACAAAGATTGATATTGCCATAAACATGTTCCAAACCTTTTTATCTTATAAAGCCTACCGTTTCATATTTGATTTGCAAATTTCGAAGAACATTTTATTATTCATTATATAGCATTGATTGCTTGCCCACAACATTGAAAACTAAGCATTTAAATAACATCTAATAAGACGTATTATTAGGAGACAGAGTGACAACTGATATTTCTATGGATTTTATGCAAGTAGTCTGCTATATTGTTATAAAATCTCATTGCATTACAAGCTATCAGAATTTAAATAAAACTTTTTGGCCATAAAAATAACAGCAACTGCAAATAACAATTTTTTTCGTTTTGGCCCCTGAATAAACCTAGGGATGCACCGATTCAATTTTTTGCAGAACAAGGCCAATTTGGATACTTTCATTTTTAGTACTTTTCGATACCAAGTACCAATAACCTGTATTTTCATTGCAAGTAGATATATTGTAAAGAGAAACCAAAAAATTACATATCAAATTAGTTGGCTTAGCAAAAAATTCTGATTCTGTCTGAAGCTTCAATAAAAGATTTTTAGACTATCATTTTATATTCCAGGCTTTTAAGGATGAGTTTGATGTAGAATAAATGACATGACATGCAAACCTCTGCCTCTGACAGGTCCTTCTCTGTGTCTGGCTTGTTGTATTTCTCTTGCATGAATGGAATCCAACTCATCTGGCAATTCTTTACAAAGGGTTTGACATCCACAGTGCCCAGAGCATAGCCGCAGATACCTTCTTCATCCTCAAGCACAAAGCCATAGTCTGGGCTGAGCGTCAGAAAACCTCCCACAAACCTGCAATGAGTAAGATGATGGTACAAAGTCAACATGTTATTAATCATGCATGCATAACACATTAATGTGACTAAACATAGTGGAAGCTCAAACTTCACCTGTCTCCAATAAGGTCCGGTGAAGACTCATCTGGGAAAGAAATGCCATCACAGCTCTCAGTGAACATCTCCTTGCAGACCTTATAGATGGCAGACTGAGGAAAAAAAGTGAGAGATGCAGTGTAAGAAAGGCATCTGACAGCTCTCATTCCACAAAATGTGAACCTTCTTAGGACTAACAGGAGGACCAGACTGCTGTTTCAGCAAAATGCTTCAGATGTGATGCAATTAAACCTAAAATCAAAGCATAAACTGGGACACCTCAGCTGGGAATTCAAGCAACCAACAGCAACGTTTAATTTAGACAAACATCTACAGCGTTTTCATACTACAGATAGCTTACAGTAGACAAGCCATGCCCTCGACATAAAGCACATTCCTAGGGTTGCACCAGCTGTGAACAAGTTATAACTTGAGGCCCATTTTCATTGCAACTATTCCAAGTTACAAATGAAGCACTATTAAATATTTTTTTTATTGCGCCACAAAACAACATATAATTGACTATTTGAGGAAGTCTGCAAACAAATGTAAGAGTTTGAATAAAACAGAGCAGATTGAAGCTAAAATTTTACCTGAAAAACTTGATGCTGACATTTGTTGAACACTCTACTCTGGTGAGTATTTTTAATTGCAATTTTGATTATAATTGTAAGCTAGTACAAAACGAAAGCCAGAACCTACCTCATCTTTGGCAAAGTAAGGCCTTATGGTATAGATTTTAGAAGTAGGCATTGATGGTGGTGGCTGGTAGAAAAGATCATTTGCCCCATCAATTGGCAACAGTCTCTGTGGAGACCAAAGCAAAAGTATATAATAGTTTAGCACTTTTCTAGATTTGATCATGTGACTGCACTGCTGCTGAAACTTCAGCATGAGTTTACCTGCTCAAGCTGTGCCAACCTCACACAGGAGCTGAGCAATAATGTGCCTAATACAGGCATGGAATTAAATAAGCAAGTAAACTGGCTTCACTGGTTGGTCAGTTTTCAGCAAGAGCATGTAAACATCATACTTCAAATACGTACCATTGACAATCATTTTCCACCTTTTTTTTTTTCAGAGAGAAACCAAAATGAAACAAAAGTGCGCAGGCTTGGTCTGAGAAAGGCTTAACTGGCTAAAGGAGATGCTCCTTTCCCGCTCTTTTTCGCTGCGCTAGAACGTCCTGTAGAGAAAAGGAATGATGCTAGAGCGCAGAGCAAAACTCCAGGACCAAAAATTTCAAGCTTAAAACATCACATATTTTCCAAGACACACCAATTATGATCATCTAATTATTTATTAATTACATGTTTTGAACGTTGAGGTTATGGATTAGTAATTCTTTGTTCATGGAGCTTTGAGTAGGCAGACTCGCAGTCGCACACGCAGGCGCAGTGTTGTGGACGCAAGCGCAGACAATAATTTTTGCACTGTTTCCTGCAAAGACACAAGATGTCATAAAATAAAACCTAGCCAATGCTGCGCTGTCGCGAGCGCAAGGGGGAAAAGCAGCATCTCATTTGGGCAGTTGCTGAAAGAAATACAAATTTAGGCTGGGTTAGAAAACACCATCACCCCAAACAGTTGTCGTTCGACCACTTCAGTTGACACTTCAGAAAGAAAAGCCCAAGTGGCTCAACACCCCTTTGTTTTACTGTGCAGCTGCTGACAGCTCACCTTAAACAGACCAACCCGTAGCGTTTTGCAACCACACCAACATCTTAAACAAACGAAAATATATCTTCGTGTAACATTTTGCAGGTAATTCAATATTGGATACCTGGAACTCTCCTGCTAGACCGCCCCTAAAGGCCCAGGGCTCTTGGTCGCCACTTAAGAACTGTGCTGACGACTGACTACGACACCCTGTTGAGATCAGATCCAAGCGGAAAACATTATGTGAGGGGCTTTCTGGCATAATGAGGGGGAAGGGGTATAGGGTAGAGCTGTCTTATTTCCAAATAACGCATTGAAAAGAAATGTAGATACTACAATCAAGGAAAACGCCTCAAGATGAACAAAAAGCATGGATATCTTCTGCCTAGGGCTCAAGCAGCTTAAGCTTACGATGACAGAGGGCTTACACTGACTCCAATGTCAGATTTGGGCACATTACTGAAACAATTTGTTTTTCACATGATCCTCAAGCAGTTATAAGTGAGGTTCAGGATGCAATCTGGGATAAGGTTTGGTGCTAGCTCTTCAACTCATCTTTCTGTCTGTTTTGAAGAGATGAGATATTCAAGAATTACTAGCCGTAGCAGCGCTTTTCCTACAACAGCCTTTGTGGGGATTTTGTTTGTTATACGTCATCAGTTCACTAGCTGGTACTAAATAAGCTTCAGCTGTTTAAGCCCTCTGAATTCTAACCTTTATCTGAAGTCACATTTAGACCTATCTGCCTTGTCACATGACTATCGAGCATTGTTCATCAGCCACCACTGTGGACGCTTCCTTTGATCGATGGAAACTTTATTTAACATGATTTTATGGAGTAGATCTGGACCCTTAAAAAAGAATCAAGAGTCTGCAGCAACTGAATATTTCCAGTCACAACCCCTATTTGCTCCAGCAGCAGATTACTACGATAAAACTGGGCACTTTTTAGTCGTCGTTAAACAGACACAAGCTTTATATTGAAATTTGAAATCTCTCCATTTCTAAATAGCAGTACCGATGTGAGGGGATGAGGACTCAGTGTCATGTAACAAGACAAATGCAGCGCAGATCCAGGAGACAAAGTTCCCCCGTTTTCAATCAGTTTGATCATACTAACACATCCTGTGGTGAAATGGCAGGACACACACCACACACACCCATCTGAGGGGAATTTTATCACTGCCTTTACTTTTTTTTTTACAATTTACCCATAAAATTATACTCTTGTTAACTGATTATTTTTTATTGTAGAGAGGTTTAGATGAGGCAAGAATATCAATCTTCCCCTAAAATGGTGTGGTAAAGCTTGTCTGAGCCATTTCAATTGGGCCTACTGATAGAAACAAAAATTATGTTAGAGCTGCCAGAGAAAAGAATTGTGGGGTTAACACCTAAAACTTGAGCTATCGCTGCGCAAATGTGACTTCATACAAGAACCTTTCCTTTCCTGAGACATTGAAAGAAATTAAAATCATTTGGGCACATAACGAAAAAGAATATAATCTATAAAACCCCGGAAAAAAAAAGATAATCGCAGCACTGTGCATTCATCGGGCACTGTCCATCCAATAGCAGTAGACACTTGTGCTGAGGAATCTTCCATCTGTACATAACGAAGGGAAAAGACAATACAAGAGCTCATTAGTAAGTGATCTCAGCACAACAGCAGTGAGCCGCTGACTGAATGCCATCTGCACTGCTTTGGACGGGGCAGAAATTCTGGCTGACCTGGCTGAAAATGCTCTGGGATTTGGACTGTCCATCCAAACAAAGGCTGTAAAGCATATTGAGAGGGGACAGTCCACACAAAAACCAAATAAACTTATAGGGATGCACAATATTGACCACCATATCGGTATTAGCCAATATATACTCATTTTTAATGTTCTAGTTATTGAACCGATAAGAAAATTTGGCCGATATATTAAAGCGATAAATAATGTATTATTTCCTTCAGCTGAAACACTACAGAAGTGCAGGTCCGCCATGAAGGTTGCTTGACATTTGCTTGAAATCACTTTGAAGGTGAACATTTTCAGCGCAAATCTGTCATAAAGGCTAGATCGGATCCACAACACTTATGCATTCGCATTATTTTGTTAAGATAAAAGTTGCAATATGTTTATGTTATATAAATATCTTACTAATCTCACATTACCCAAACAAAGCACTTCAGTTTAGATGTTCATTCAACACCAGCGCAGCTCAAACAGTAATGCTGATATTTGAAACAATAGATTTTTTTAAAAAATATATATATAAAAGAAAGTTGCTCATAGGTGTGTAAAATTATAAAAAAAATGTGCACTGGTTCAAACTAGGCTACAGTGCTGTTGTATATCTTTGATTAATGTTGAAATGCTTTGGACATAGCTTTTAATGGTTACACTTGTTTTTGAAATCAGGCTCTCAATATATAATAGATTTATCAGCCATATATATCGGTTATCGGCTTTCAAATAAAGAATTATCAGTTATCGGACAAAATATCGGTGCATCCCTATAAATGTACACAAAAGGGTCCGTTAAATCAATATCACATTTGTTCAATGGGCATGTTTTGACATAAAGAGTAGCCTTTATGGGGTTTTCAAAAAAAGCTAATCAAGTGTTTGATTCCAGTTCTATTAAACACACTTATTAGTGCAGCATATTATACACTTGATTGTCCCCTACATCAGTTAACAATTTAGGTGGGGCATGCCAGTTTTGGTTGCTGCCTGCTGTGTTGCTTTGTTATAAAGCTGGACAGAAACCTGTGAATAAAATGTGGTTACCAAGGTAACCCAGGCCATGCTGGTGCTATAATTACTCAACCAACTTCCAACAAAAACCTCATTTAGAACCGAATCCATTACTCTAACTGCACTGTAGCGATGCCCAGAAGCTATATGGATAACAAACATGGGCATTCTAAGTAAGTGACAGGTCTCTCAATAAAATCATCGTAAATAAAAGGGCTGGCTAATGACCCAAGAGTTTCTCTCATGAGAGAGCCTTCAGTTCTCTGACTGCACAAATTAATTTAGGATCATGAGAACTGTGTACAGTTCACCGGAATGTATTATCAAAATGTAGTATATAAAAGTGTTTTCTGGCTGGACCAGACCAATTCAGTTAGAGTAAAGCATACGCTGAGGTTGTTTGTGGAGTATCATCGTGTAAAACTAATAATCGGCAGATATGGTAAAAAAAAAACAATCATATACATATAAGTAATTGCTCATGGTGCACCAGAATAGCCTTACACAGCCGCCTTGCTTTTCAAGTTCGCATGCGCGGCGCTTTTCCTTCACGATCACACCCCTGATCGAAAGAGATTGCAAAAGATGTTGCCAAGTTAACGCACAATGATACTGAATTCACAGCAAGCAGCAGGACCCACCCTGGCAACTTTGACCACAGCCATCCAAATTCATTCTACCAGATTAAGAGTGGCCTGAAAAAGAGGCACTAACTAGCAATGAGGACAGCATCCAGTCAGTAGAGGAAAACAGTATTCACACAGTGAAAATAAGTAAGGAAAAGCGAGTGTACACTAGAATTTCCCATAAATGGCAGACTTCGCCCAAGAAATTTCAAGTGGAAGCTGTTCATACTGTGAGTGGGAACTGAGGTCTTATGATAGATGGCAGTGCATATTTTTATACTTAAGTAAATTAACACTTTTAACTCTATTAAGGAATGCATCTTAATAATGTCACTATAAAAAGGTGTAGTTTAAAAACTGATGAGGATGTGACAGTCGAATTTAATGCTCATCGTTTGGGAGTCAACTAAATGACTTAAGCATTTCATGGGCTCAGCATGGTTCAAAAACATTGAGGGGGAGCAAAGAGATTTGTGGCCATACCTACCTAACCACTGGACAAATGATTTCACCATTGAGATGATACTCTTTATATCCCAGATATAGGGATACAGGTCATACAGAATGGTCCTGTTGGCGGAGTTGGAGAGTCTGGTGAACATCTGGATGACGGAGCAGCACATCTCCTCGAAGAATTCTGCTCTGGACTGCCATTCAGTCACCTATGTGAAATATATGAAAACCATCTTATCTTTACCACTGTATCTAAAGTCTACTGCCTCTGCAGCAACTCCTAAAAATGTGTAATTACCTATTTTATTCTTATCATAAAAGCACCACCATGTGGTGCAAATAATAACTGCATTGCCACCATTTTGTCTGTCTACTGAACAAACACTTTTACTTCCCATTTAATTCAACATGGACAAAACAAGGCCATGACAGAGAAAAAGAGTTCCCATACATTTTAACCTACACATTTCCATGACTTTTAGATGTCTTTTCCATTAAAAAATCATTTAAATTCACTCAAGTTTGCAAATAAATCACAAATTATCTCACATATCAGACAAAGGATCACAAAGGATGTTTTACTCTACAGAAGAGCAACGTTTAGTCAGTTAATTAAATATTGTAATGTGAAGCATCAATTAGTAAAAGGTGCATTAATTCTGTAATTTCCTGGAATTTATATTCTTAAAATTCTATTAATCTTCATAAATGTTCAGGCCAAGAAAAACTAAATAAAAATAATCCCGATAATCCCAGGTTTCCCATAAAAGTAGTTTTTGAACAAAAGCACTACATATTGACCAGCTTGCATTTCTATCCATTTTTAAATATGTAATTTCTCACCTTCTCTGGATCCTTTGCTTTGGAGTTAACACTGACATAATTACTATTGGCTCTTAACCAGTTAAACTCTTTTAGCATCTGTACTGCTTTTGGACCGTGTTCGTATGGCAGGTAGAAGAGTTCAGCGAGCAGGATTAAATCCTCCAGGGTAAGTGCTTCAGCAGTGAACAGTGGTTTCTCATTGGGACCTGGAACAAACAATTCCTTGTTGAGTTGATCATCAGTCTGCATCGGTGCAATATCGCTGCCTGAATCCTCTTGAATGGACATCTCTGGGGACTTGGACTCTGTCAGGCTTTCTTTGTCTGTGTCCATGGGCTTGAGATCTTCTGTCATCTTAGCCTTGACAATCTCTGTGAGGATCTGGTTGACATTTTTATTGTCCTCCACCTCGTCATGTTTCTCTACAACCATCTCCATGGGTTCTTCATCGGACTCCTTCTTCTCCACCTCCACCTCTTCTTCTTTGCAGAGCACGTGCAGCTCATCGCTAAGTGGCACATCTGGATTCATAATGGGCTGTTGGAAGACTGTAGTCACTGTAGTGGAAGTGTCCAGGCTGGGAGAAGTGACCGAAGGAACATCCACAGAACTGCTTTTAGTTCCACTGTGAGGTACCTGCCGACCTGCAACAAAGAGGAGAAAGGTTTAGATAGTTTAGATGTAACCAAAATTCAAAACAACTTAGATAAATGTTAAAAAAAATCATCACACAAAGAAGACATAATTACTGTTGTACTGATGAGGCACTCCAAACTCGATTAGCCATTCAGTGAGAGCCAGCTTGAGCGCGATCTGAGGGCTATATAGGATGTCTGTTTCTAGCTCCTCGTCACTGCCCTCGTTTTCCAGCTTTATCTGGATGGAAACAGTGCTGTCTTCACCGTCATCTAAACATAAATGAGAAGAAATGAAGCTACAAACTCACTAGAATAAATACACAAATATGATAAAGTTGATGAATAACAGCCTCTTATCGACATATCGAATATTTGCTTAGTTAAAAAAAAAAAACACTTTTGCATAACAAAACCTTTCTTGTAGAATATCAAAAATAAAGCAAGATTTTTCCTTAAGAATGCTAATTGTGTTTGAATTCTGGCTGATTTAACAGTCATTAAGTAATTTGATGCAAAGGTAATATAATACAAAGTATAGTGTAATAAATCTACATGGATTTAAAAAAAAAATAAAACACAAAAAACTTTACAGGATTTATGATGGATCAGTCTGTGAAAAGGGTCCATATAATGTATAAAAAATAAGAATGGTCCATTTTTGATTTGATGGTGATTGAGAGAACACCCTGCTATTTAAATATATATATACACATGATTAATTATAAAAACAAAAAGTTTCCATTAAGAAATACTTACTCATGACAACATCTTTTCTCACTCCATTCATGTTAGACTTATACCATGTGGCTAATGTGTGAATGGCCACAAAATTAGACTCAAATTCACAGTTGGGGTTGGTGAGGACTCCCTTTAGGCGAGGAATGAGCTCTGTGGATCTGCCTTTATAAGGCCCCAAGAAAAGTCTCTTCTGATCATAGTCATTAGCATGAATATTGTCCCAGATGACAGGGGCTCTCCTCAGTATCTTTGTGACTTCCTCAATAGATTCAACAGTGATGTCTTTAGAAACTACCTTTGGACCTGTCAAACACAAAAAGGCATTTTTAATATCTTCAAACTATTATTCTATTCCACTCAAAGAAAACACAACATACCTGTCCACAGCACCTCAATACCAGGAAGGAGCTTTTCACCTACTGTGCGCAGATAAGGCGATTGTGGCACATTTGGATAACAAAATGTTCCACAATACTCTGAGGACAAGGAGACATTAAATTATTATGATAAGGAATGATATAGAAACAATACATTTGATAGAACCCCTCAAAGCAACATGGTTAGTAGATAAAAAAATAATCTTACCTGTGGGGCAAAATAAAAATATTTCAGGTTCTCCCAAATATTGGAAGATCTCATTGGTGATAGACACTTGGGCATGTGCGAAAGAGCTGAATACCTCCTTGTCAGCAGGACACATGTTATGATCGATGTCATCAAACAGTAAGGCAAAGGACTTGCACCCAAAATGAGAGACCTGCACAAAAGACAGACTGAGATTAAGGATGTAGGTCATAAAAACACTGACATCAGTGCTGTTTAAGCTCATTCTTACCTGGTCTAACTTCCTTTTAAGTGTCAAAACTTCCTTCTGATTTGAGAACGTAATGTCCAAGCCAGGGGAAATGGCATAAATGAACTCAATCTCATGCTCTTTAGCAGCACTTATTAAAGTCGTGAGTTGCTCTTTAAAAGAACAAGACAGAAAATTACACAAATAAATTTTAAACCATATAAAAGACTAACAACTGTTTCAATTACAAAGGATATATCACCTGCTTCTTCAACAGAATACATTTCTCTCCAAAACATTCTGTGTTTGTAGTCATCTTTTGGGGCATACAGATAGGTGTTCAAACCCCATTTCTGCTGCCTGAATCACAACAAATTTAAAGTTATAATTTTTGTTTGAGGTTAATCTTGCAAAAACATTACTACTAGCATGTTTAGACTGTCAATAGCAGAATCAGAACAAGAGAGACAAATAATATAAGACGCACACATACAACGTATGCACACAACAGAGAAGATATACAAAAATAAAATACAAATATATAAAGAATAGATACAATTATGCTAGAAAATGTGAATAAGAAAAGGACATCATATTTGCACGCTTGCACAATACCTCCTGAAAAGCTCTTTCCTTTGTTCCATAGTCCATGGCCGTCCATAGAAGCCTGTGGTGAACAATTTAAGTGCAACAAACGGTTTTGACAAACGCAACACATTCCACACACAGATGCTACAATCAATCAATGCCTAGAAAATATATAACTATGTTCTCTAATTAAACACCGCATGTAAATTAATTACGTAAAACCATTTAGCTGATGATTTTGACAACATTATGAAACAATTAGGTTGGATTTGTCTAAATTTGCTCACCCTCTACAACACCAGTGATGAATTTCCTCCGGCCTGTTCGTTCAACTCCGATACTGGGCTCGTCAACTGGACACAGAGTATCTGCAACAGCTTCGGTTGGCACTGTATCGACTTCATTCTCTGGCTGTGACGACTCGATTATTTTGTCTTTCTGAACCATTTTGGATTGTATTAAATTACCGCTGTTGGAAATATCGGACTAGTCGTCAGCCAAAGCGTTTCTTCCGCAGGAAAACGGACCAGTCACCGATTCACTAATTTAGTGGGTCAGTAGGCCATTGAGTCACCGGTAGGGAGCGGAATTCAATCGGACGAAAATATTCTGCATGAACTACCTGCAGATCTCTTCTTTGACAAACACGACAGTCATTCGCGTGCAAAGATGAAAGCTTTCTGGACTATATCTGAAATGCCTTCTTGCAGCTTAACGCGATACGTCACGAAACGACGTGTTTGTCAGAACCGCCAGTTAGCATTAACCGCTGTTTTCGCTAAGAGCTTTTGTAAACTCTCGCTACCTCGTGCGTTAGACATATATTAATAACGTTTAACCGAGCTTCTTACTGTATACCAGCATCGCGGCTTCAAATAGATAATATAAATGTATCATAACGTTCATCGACACTGTTTAATGCTGGACTCTTCTTCCTGTTTACACTTACTGCGCACTCTCAGAAAACTGGTTTCAACCGGTAAAGGACGGTTTGTGTGAGTCTGAAAACAAATCTCTAGCAAGGCTCTTAAAGAGACAGCGAGAATATCAGCTCTCCTCCTGCCCCTGCCAGAATGAGAAATTTAGATGTCATTCGTTTCATTTACCAAATAATAATTTTTGCATACGTTATATATACATATACATTTAATAGTAAAAACTAAATTTGTTGTGTTACTGAATAGACATGGACAGTAATGGAGACTCTCTTTAAATAAAAAAAAATTGTCAAGACCATGTATTTCTGGACGTACATTGAGTTGAACATCTCTTGTCTTACGTCTGCTGTAGACGTGCACACACACACTTAAAGTCAGTCTGGCTATGAATATTTTTTGTTCTTGTTAAAAAAAAATACAATGTTAATTTGTAAGATAAATTAATTGATGTGGGGTATATTTAAATGTCACTTTCAGCGGCCAATGGCTTATTGCGTAGGAAATGTCACCCCTCTGTATGTCGTGAATGGTTCGGTCCACTGTTTTAGCGCTGGTTTCAACCATAGACAGTAAAAAGGTTTCAACACAGCGTTAATGTGGAAGACATAAATTAATAATCTCTCAGACCAGCCTTATACGAGACGTATGTTATTTGATGTCAATTTCACACTAGTTGTTGTAAAATCCACATTATATTTGAAAAGACATTTCACTTTTATTACCCCTATTTTTACAGTCTATGGTATAACCTAACCATCCACTTAAAGTGATAGTTCGCCCCAAAAAAATGTCTTGTATGAATTGCAATCCTGAACACAAAATAATATATACCAAAAAGCAGACCTATTTTGGAATATGGAATATTCAAATATGGGGGAAAAATACAATGGAAATCAATGTTGCCCCACAACTGTTTGGTCACAAATATTCTTCAAAATATCTTCATTTGAGTTCAGCAACAAAGACATTTAGGGTTTTCTGAGATTTTATGAAGGTACATTTAAAACTTTAAGAACAAGGAGTAAATCGAAGAGAGAACAATACATCAGCAAATGTCTAGGGAGAAACACAATGAGCTCTATTAGCAACACTCCAGAGTTGGAAAATACAACTTCCAGCAGATATCCATTACTTTTAAATATATTTTACAAAAAAAAAATCCTAAATCAAGTTAGATCTATTTGAAATGCAAAATGACATCAACATATGAAGTCTTGCTTTCTGTGAAACTGTCTGAAGTGAGTTTGATTAAAACAAATCTGCCAGTGGGCTCAGAAGTTTTTCGTTACTCGTTGATATTTGTCAATGTTTTAATAATAAGCTCATAATTTTTATTTGCATCTCATTAAATGAATGTTCATATAAAGATGTTTCAATATTTGTGTTGGAAAACATGACAAAAATTGCAGAGGAAGATATTAACGCATATAAAATTATATAATACATGCAACATTTAATGCCATGACTGTATTGCCCTGATTTAATGACCTTTTAAGGCCATAATTTGAGTAAGGGTGTAGCAGTCATGTATTCTAGCCATTCTCAAGTTTCTGTAAAATCAAGACGACCCCCAAAACAACATTTATTTCAAATCAATGTTGCTTATTAGGACAAGAAATTACCACAAATATATTTTTAAATCTTCTGCAAAAATCCTCAAGAAAGAATGAAACAGATTTTTAAAATCACAAAAGAGACAACAAAGGCATTTTTATATCTTAGGTTTATTTAGATTGAAATAAATTCACCATTATAAACCCATTTCCCCAACATAATGTTTCCATTCAATTCATTTTAAAATGTATCCAACATTCAGCGTCAGATTAAACATTTAAATAAATTTAATTCTTTTAAAAAAATTCTATTTTTTTTTCATTCCAGAGTTTTATTATATTTCATATTTTTTTTGCACTTTTAATTTTTCTTACAAATCTTCACTTCAATAGAAGGTGTAAACTTGCAGAAACAAAAAACAAAGAAAAACAACAAACAAAAACAGTAATTGAGAGGCAACACTGGAAGTGTGGGGCAGCATTTCGCTCCGAGGTAATAGGTCTTCTCATCGGTGGTGGCTTGAATAATCGTTACCTTTTCAGGTTCCTCTGAGCTTGCTTGAGTAAAGTGTCAAAGTCTAGTGCATCAAATTTGCCCTTTGTAGGGTTTGGACTGTACTCCCTGTTTGAATCTGAAAACCATCAAAAAGAAACTTGTCACATCTGGAGGCTTTAATAGAAATGTTTACAAAGACTAAAATTATGCACCGAAATCTCAGCCAAAAAAGCAGTTTCAGTTTCGGCCAAAATAGATTTGCATGGCTGAACGTCACCATTTCAGCCATACAAATCTATTTTGGTCGAAACTGAAAATTAGGGAGTTTTTTTGCCTTTTTGGTTGAGATTCTTTTTAATTAGCGCTTCTCCAAAGATTTGTTTTGACAGCATCAACCTAAGTTAAATTAAAGCTTTCATTTTGTTTCGGGTAATAAATACATTCTGGTGCATCACTACAATAAATGGAAAGAGGAACAGCTAATCATGCAAAGCTCACCAAGATCAGCATAACTGGTTTTGCAAAACTGCCTCCTGCCTCCAAAGCACAGGTCAAATGGGAGCTCATTCTGCTCCCTCAGCCTGCTTCCATTCTCAATAGCATTAAACGCATCCTTTTTGCTGTAGTATGTAACAAAGCCGTAGTTGTCTCTGAAATAACAGGAGTGTTAGCAATCCTCTTGATAATGTTAAACACATCAAATAAATACAGAGAAGCCATACCCATTTTCTCTAAAGTGCACAGTGCACTCCTCAATCTTTCCGAAGTATGAGAAGCGTTCTTTCAGCTCCTTACGAGTCATGCTTCCCCGAATTCGTCCAACATAAACAACTCTCCGCTCCTCCTAAAAAAACATTTCAATTGAAATGTCAGAAATCAAATCACCAAGGTGCCTTTGGGAACAAATGAAGACATTTCCCTGATTGAAATACTCACAATGGCTTTCTCTTTGCGCATCTTTGTATCCTCATTGCAGTTTTGTGAAAGGCGGTAATCGGGCCTCTGATTGGGGCTGTCAAAAGTCAAAACATTTCAGGGTTAATAGTTAACTTGTACTAACAAACCATAAATAAAATAAAAAACAAACATCCTGCAAAGTTTTAAATCTGATTCAAGTGCACCGTACATAGTTATTGTCTTTCTAAAATAAGAGTCAATTAAGTCAATGAAATCAATCGTTTTTCAAACCAGTCCCCTGACATCTCAAAAGCAAACATTTGTCTTGCGTTGCAAACACCTTTGCCATAATATTATATTTTTGGAAATGTCACATACACAATTATTGAAAACATAAAGCTCTTTCTTTTTCTATGTACATTTCTGTAAAAGATTGAAAGTAATTGGCAGAGAGATGTTGAAATATTGACATTAAACACGGAAGTAACCAAACTATTTTTTTTTCTGGTTGTGAATACAGCATTACACAGTCTGAAAAAACTATAGCGTGACCTTTGGCCTATTTGTAGACCTATTCTAAAGCCATGATTGGTTGGTATTAAAATGAATATTGAACTATGATAATATCTCAATGACAAAAAAAATGAAAAAAATAAAAATAAAATAAATTAAAAAAAACACAGACGACAGCACAGTATTTACGAACATGCCAGTTCTCACCTTCTATGAGTTTTCCAACGCAGACGGCCATGAGAATCAGAGGAGCGGGACCTGGATCTAGAGCGGCTGTGACTCCAAGATCCAGAGCGTGAGCTTGAATAGGAATATCGACGCCGACGGGGTGGGGAAAATGACCTGGAGCTGGATCGGGAACGAGATCGAGACAGGGATGAAGAACTGGATCTGCTGCTGGAGTGACGAGACCTGTATCTGTGAATGTAAAAAAAAAGGATACTGTGCTCAACATTCCTTTAATTATCATACATGTATAATAACCATAGACAAAAGTCAAAGCGGACCTTTTCCTGGGTGGTGAACGTGATCTGGAGGAGGATTCAGAACTGGATTCTGAGCTCCTAGAGGACTGGGCTCTGTATCTTCGCTTTGCACGGCCTCTGTCCTGCTGGTACTGTCTGGAAGAACACTCAGAGTAGTCCAGAGGTTTTTGCTGGTTGCATTTTGCTTCATCCAGTAAAGAGCTTTCAGAGTCAGGCCTGTTTGGAGAGGCATCTGGAGTCATCAAGGTAGAGCGGTTTAATGTGCACCTTGTATCTGCAGAAGGTTGACTGAAGCTGAGGTTTCCTTCTGTAACTGGAGTTGACGAAGCCTTGGAGACGCTGTTCTGCGTGGGCTTAATGGAGGACAGCTCGACAGTCTTGATAACAATGCTAGGCTGTTGTTTGACATTCCATCGACTGCCAACTTCATTTTGATTGGCCTCTTTTGAGGGGAGGCAATAGTCATGGTCAAGGGAGAAAGGTTGAGTCTGCCCAGTGGTAGTAGGGGTCGGAGGCTTGCTGCGCAGCTTATTTGAAGGGAGTGGTTTTGCTTCTATCTGAATGGCCTTGCTAGGAGTTGGCTTAAGGACCTCTGACTTCTTAGTTTTCCCCAGCAGTGAAACCGGTGCAATAGGTTTCCACATCTGGTGTGGAGGAGTGGCAGGTGGTGTAAGGCCTATGGGATGATTCAGATAAAAAGATTATTCTTTTTATTACTTTATTATTTGCATAAACGTTAGGAATGTGTTCGCATTATATAACAAAATACGTCAAATCATACATTATTCATTTAAATTAACAAGCTATATTATATACACTACCATTTAAAAGTTTGGGGTCAGCAACTTTTTTTTAAAAGAAACTAACATATATTCACCAAGGATGCATTAATGGATGCTAGGGCTGTCAAACGATTAATCACGATTAATCACATCCAAAATAAAAGTTTGAGTTTAGATAATATATGTGGGTGCACTGTGTATAATTAGTTTGCATATATAAATACACACACATTCTTGTACATATTTAAGAAATATTTTCATGTATATACTGTATATAGATTTATATAATATATACCAGTAAATATTTTA